TAAAAGTAAGAGGAATTATTTCTTTTGAAATTTTTCCTTTTAATTTAATATTTTATGCAGTGCTTGAACTACCTGATGAAGACCCTTGAGAAAGGTCGAAATCTAGATCGTAGTTAAAATTTCTTTAAAAATAATACATATACATATCCTCAAGATTATTATTTGTTCTAGATACTAATTTTTTTCATATTCGAAAAGAAATAATATTATGAATTTAAATACAACTGAACCAACAACAACGACATCAAACAATGAACAACAAGATTATCAAGCAACAACGTTAAATTCAGATAATTTGACACGTTATTTTTATTTACCAATATTTCCACCAGCAACATCAATGATAAAATTGGGTGCCAATGATGATTTATTATTAGCTAATGTACCAAGTTCGTATTATTTATTCAATTTTGTATTTATTTTATTGATTTAAATATATATATTATAGATAGTCATCTTGCACAAAATCAACTATTACAACGTCAACAAGCTACACAGATATCAGATAGTTTGATATTGAACAATATCGATGATAGTCGAGAACCATTTTGTTTATCTGCAATAGATATTAAAGAATTATCGACAAGATTACAAGTTAATGAATCAATTATTATATGCAATGCTAATCGATTACGTGCCATTTGTGATCGACTTCTTGAATTACATGAATATTTTAGAAGAAGAGTACTTGCAATACAAGATGTTGCTTTAAACGAACCAACTCTCAATTCAAAACAAATGTCTTTAATATTAGAATTTTTCTTACAAATCGATGGTAAATATCAATGTTTCATTGTTATCGTAGATTTTTTTTCTCGCTATGTTTTATAGCCGATGTATTCTATATGAAAACATGTCGATTTCGTGATGCTGAACCATGTCCATCAATAAAAGGTCTTTTCTGTAATGATGAATCACCAAAAGCAAGATATAGTATGGTTCCATGTGGTACTACTAATTGTCCATGTTGTCATTCCATAGAAAATAGTTCAAGTCATCGTTTTGTCAATGGTTATACAACTTATTTGAATTGTCCAGCAGTATGTTGATGAAATTTTTACAAAATAATGAACGATCTTTTTTTTTCATTGTAGACATGTACAACATCGAATATTGTTTTTGTTATGACATGTCCATGTGGTCAATATGAATTTATTGATTCAACATCGGGTACATTAGCTGATGCTTTAACTCGTAGGTAAATTAAATATAGTCATTCATTTTATTTTTTTTCTATACACATAGATCATCGATTGGCATGTAA